GGGGAGCAGATTTAGGACTGAATTGAGGAGGAACTTCTTCACCCAAAGGGTTATGATCCTACGGAATTCCCTGCCCAGTGAAGTAGTTGAGGCTTTCTCATTAAGTGTTTTTAAAGCTAAGATAGATAATTTTTTGAACAGTAATGGAATTAAGGGTTATGGTGCAAGGGTGGGTATGTGGAGCTGAGGCCATGAAAAGGTCAGCCACAATCTTATTGAATGGTGGAGCCGGCTTGAAGGACCAGTTGGCCTACTCCTGCTCCTGTATCTTATGTTCTTGTGTTCTAATGTCTTTTAAACATTGTAACTGTACCCACCACTTCCTCTGGAAGTTCATTCCATACACAAACCACTCTCGGTGTAAAAACGTTGCCCCTCATGTCTTTTTAAATGTTTCTTCCCTCACCTTAAAAACATGCCCCCTCATCTTGAAATCCCCCATCCTAGGGAAAAGACATCTGCCATTCACCTTATCTATATCTCTCATGATTTTATGAACCCCTATAAGGTCACCTCTCAACCTTCTACATTCTATTGAAAAATGTCCCAGCTTATCCACCTTCTCCTTATAACTCAAATCCTCCGTCCCCGGCAACATCCCGGTAAATCTCTTTGAAACCCTCTCTAATTTAATAATATCCATCCCATAACAGGGAGACTAGTCAGCAGAGGCCTCACCAACGTCCTGCATAACCTCAATATAATTTACTTGTTAAATACCTGGAACAAGTGGATTGTCTTATGAAGAAAGGCTAAATAGGCTGGGCCTATATCCTCTGGAATTCAGAAGTGACTGAATTGAAATTTAAAAGATCCTGAGGTGACTTGACCTGTGGATGTGGAAAAGAAGTTTTCTCACATGGGAGAGTCGAGAACCAGGGGTCATAGTTTAAAACTAAAGGATTACCCATTTAAAACAGAGATGAGGAAACAATCTTTCCCCACAAAGATTGTGAGTCTTTGGAATTCCCTTCCTCAAAAGGCAGCAGATGCAGAATTTTTAAGTATTTTCTAAGGCCGAGATACATAGATTCTTGATTACAAAGGGGATGAAAGATTGTTTGGAGTGTGCAGGAATGTGGGGTTGCGGTTAAATCAGATAGCCATGATTTTATTGAAAGTCAGAGAAGACTTGAAAGGCCTTGTTCCTTCTTTGTACATTTGTAGTTCAGACTCTTACAAAGTTCCTAGAATTAATTGGTTGTAATCAAATAAAATTTGTCAGACTTGGGAGGCTTATTATTAATTGCAGGAGATCAAAGCTTGAAATGTCACTGCACTTCCCCTTTTTTTAAATTACAAATCTTGCAAATTCTCTTTGATGTTCTCTGTTGTGTTATGTCTTGCAGCAGATGTGAAATATATCTCTAAGGGGCATGCTCATGATATCACCACTGTATCACAACATGTGATATAATAGTATAGAGCCCTGCGTTCCCATCTTACTGACCTCTATCCATTGCAGCAAGATACACTGACAGAAGCTTGCTACAGTATGTCTGAATTGCTTAGCTTGAGGCCAGTCACACAAGTGCCTGTGACTGTGGAGCATATATGTAAATACCAGGACCTGTACGAAAATTTAATTAAATTTTTAGTACTACATGACCTACATTCCCTCTAATTTCTCTAGCTGCTGCATGGATTCCTGAAGTCCATGCGTGGCAGTAACTGGAGAAACCAGAAGTGAATGCATCAGCATGTCAATTGGTATGTGCAGGTACTTGGATCAGCTGCATAGCTATGTAACCAAAATAAAAACGGATTATATAAATCAGAAACAAAAACAGAAATTGCTGGAAAAACTCAGATCTTTGAGCATCTGTGGAGAAAAATCAGAGTTAACGTTTCAGGTTGAGTGAAAGGTCACTCAACCTGAAATGTTAACTCTGATTTCTCTCCACAGATGCTGCCAGACTTGCTGAGCTTTTCTAGCAATTTCTGTTTTTGTAGCTTGTAGCCACACAGCTGAGTCAAGGTCATACATTGCTCATGTTTCATATTTATGTCATGGAAGCTAACATATATGTCACTGTGTGATAGTTGTGGATCATCAGCTATCGTGCCAGATCATCCTCCATTACAGGTGTTGATTTGTTAGAACATGATTTCATAGATGTCTCACTCTTGATCGTTAATGACGAAGGCATTGAGCATGTTGATAGGATATACAACTGCAGAGGAATCACAACTGGGTTGAAGATTATCTTCAGCCTCTTCCTTTTTTTTGGTTTGGTCCATCCCTTTCACCTGTTCTGTAGGTATTAGCTGCAATCTGGAACAGGTTCTGAGCTCATCATTTGCACAAGTTCGTCTGCCTGATGTCTGCCTGTGAACCTAGATTAGCTACGACTATTATGGGCAAATTGTATATAATGGCCATCATAGCTAGACTCAGTCTTCTCTTCATCTGAAGAATGCACACAACTGCCTTCCAGTCAGGATCAGGGCAAGAACCCTGGCTATTATGCCCTTGCCTATCCCCAAGCTAAGTGGAGCTAAGTCAATTGTAGTGGCCTCCTGCTGGCCCTCATTTTGGAATTCACCACAAATGGAAAGCAATTAAAACAAGTACCGACTAACATAATTAAAAAGTAAATGTTCTTTGATCTACGACATAAATTGTCAAATGCATCAAAGAAATTGATTGCTGTATATTACATATAAAATGTTTTTAAAATGATGTTTAATTTTTAAAAATGATATAGCATTTGGTTTGGCTTTTATGCAGGTGGTTGGCATTGCCTTTTGCTTGTGCCTTTTCACTAGATTGAAACAGTAGTTGTTGGATTAGGCAGTGTATGCCTGTAAGGTCTAGCTCAGAACAATTGTTTTTAAAAGTAGGTAAAGATTACTTCTTGTTCTATCCTTCAACTATTTATTTTATAGAACACAACAAAACGAGAGCCATAAAGTTTGAAAAAATAATTATTTTTAATAAACCTGTGTGGACATG